CAGAAAAAAAATTCCAAGAAATAATGGCTGAAAATCCCCAAATTTGGCAAAAGATATAAATCAAGTGATTAAAAAAGCCAAACAAATCCAAATCAGGATAATCCCCCCAAAAATCCATGCCCAGATATAATAATTAACCTGAAGAAACTCAAAGATGAAAAAATTTTGCCAGGCACAGTGGCTCATGCCTGTCATCCCAGCATTTTGGGAGGTTGAGGTGGGAGAATAACTTGTGCCCAGGAGTTTGAGACCAGCCTGGGCGACATAGTGAGACCTCATTGCTGCAAAAAAATTTTTTTTCTAAGTTAGCCGCACATGGTGGTGCATCCCTGTGTTTCTAGCTACCTGAGAGGCTGAGAAGGGAGGATTGTTTGAGCCTAGGAGGTTGAGGCTGCAGTGAGTTGTGATGGCATCACTGCACTCCAGCCTGGGTGACAGGGTGAGATCTTGTCTCTGGAGGGGGAAAGAGAAAAAAAAAAAAAGAAAGTAGCAAGAGAAAAATGATGCATCCCCTATAGGAAAGTGTGATTCAAATTATTTCAGATTTCTAATCAGAAACTATGGATGCCAGAAGAAAGTGGCACAACATTCTAAAGGTGCTGATTAATAGAAAAGAAAAGATTGCTTTCAAATTCTATATCCAGCAAAAATAATATTTATGAATGGAGGTAAGAAAAAGACATCCTCAGTTGAAGGAAAACAAAATATGTCAGCATATTTTCTCTAAAATAATTGTTAAGGCAAGTTTTTAGATAGAAGGGAAATGATAACAGAGGTAAACTTGAACAGCAGGAAGGAAGGAACATCAACATATAAATACCAAGATAAATATAATGGACTAGTTTTTTCCTCACGAGTTCTTTAAATTTGATGATTGGCAGCCAAAAATATAACACTGATTGACATAATACGTAAGACAACTGCAACATAAAGGTGAGAATGTTGGAGGACCTATATGGTGGTAAGATTTTTACATCTCACTTGAAGTGGTAAAATACTGTTTCTAAGTGGACTATGAAAAAGTAGGTATGTATAATAATTCTTAGGGCAACCATAAAACAAGAGAAAAAACTACCCAAGGAGACATAGTAAAATATATAATAGAGAAAATAAAATGGAATACTAAAAAATGTTCAGAGAAAAGAAGGCAGGAAAGTGTAAAAGAGGAAAACAAAAGAGGGATCAAATAGAAAAAAAGTAATAAAATGACAGACTTAAATCCAGACATACAAGTAATTATATTAAATATAAATGGCATACATACATCAATTAAAAGACAGAGATAGTAAGAATTGGTTAAATAAATGATCCAGCAATAGTCTGTCTATAAAATCTCACATCAACTATAAGCATATAGTTAGGTTAATACAAAATGATGGAATTAAGAAAGTGAAAAGCAACTCACAAAATGGAAGAAATTTTTTGCAAATTATATACCTGGTAAGGGACCTGTATCTGGAATATATAAAGTACTACTGCAACTTAACAATAAATAAAAAGACCAATTAACCCAATTAAAAAAGGGGAAAGGATCTGAATAGACATTTTTCCAAAGAAGATACGTAAATGCCTAATAAGCATATGAAAATATGCTCAACATCATTAGTCATCAGGAAAATGCAAATCAAAGCAACAAGATACCTCTTCACAACTACTAGGATGGCTATAATTAAAAAAGACAGATAATAATAAGTGTTGGTGAGGATGTGGAGAGAGAGGAATCTTCATACTCTGCTGGTGGGAATGTAAAATGATGTAGCTGCTTTGGAAAACAGTCTGACAGCTCACAGAAAGGTTAACTATAGAGTTATCATGTAACCTAACAATTCTCCTTTATATTTACCCAAGATAAGACAACAAATATACACACAAAAACTTGTGCATCATTTTAACTTTTGTCAAAAATCTCCTTTAGGTAAAACAATTTTTTTTTTTTTTTTTAGATGGAGTCTCACTCTGTCTCCCAGGCTGGAGTACACTGGCACGATGTCGGCTCACTGCAACCTCCGCCTCCCAGGTTCAAGCGATTCTTCTGCCTCAGCCTTCCGAGTAGCTGGGACTATAGGTGCGCACCACCACACCCAGCTAATTTTTGTAATTTTTAGTAGAGATGGGGTTTCACCATATTGGCCAGGGTGGTCTTGAACTCCTGACCTCATGATCCACCCACCTCTGTCTCCCAAAGTACTGGGATTACAGGTGTGAACCACCGTGCCTGACCTCCTTTAGGTAAAACAATTCTAAAGGAGACAAAGGCAGTCTCAGGCTGGGCAGAGTGTCTCATGCCTGTAATCCCAGCAGTTTGGGAGGCCTGGGTGGGTGGATTGCTTAAGCCCAGGAGTTTAAGACCAGTCTGGGCAACATAGTGGGACCACCATCTCTATAAAAATGCAGAAATTATCTGGGCATAGTGGCACATGTCTGTAGTCCCAGCTACTTGGGAGGTGGAGGTAAGAGGAATGCTTGAGCCTGGGGGGTTGAGGCTGCAGGGAACCGTGATGGTGTCACTGCATTCTAGCCTGGGTAACAGAGTGAAACCCTGTCTCAGAAAAAACGAAACAAACAAACAAACAAACAAACAACCAAACAACAACAAAGGCAGTCTCAGACATCAGAAATCAAAGGAAAGAAGGGAATAAATTAGGTCTGCATTGTCAGCTCTTTAGAGTAAAATTATACACGTTCATATGTTCAGCTGCACATATAAGCCAGTTCTCCCACTCCTATTGGCATAAGAACATAAGCCAGTTCTCCCACTCCTATTGGCAAGCCATTTATAGAGAGCACACTCTTGAGTCAGAAGATTAAATATTTTGGCCAGGCATGGTGGCTCGTGCCTGTGATCCCAACACTTTGGGAGGCTGAGGCAGGAGGATCACTTGAGCCCAGGAGTTCAAGACCAGCCTGGGTAACATAGTGAGGCCCCGCTTCTATAAAAAATTAAAAAATTAGCCAAGTGTGGTGACACACGACTGTGGTTCCAGCTACTTGGGAGGCTAAGATGGGAGGCTCACCTGAGCCCACAAGGTTGAGGCTGCAATGAGCAGTGATTGCACCTGGATCACTGCCCTCCAGCCTAGGGAACAGGTAATACCCTGTCCGAAAAAAAAAAAAAGAAAAAGAAAAAGGAAAAGAAGATTAAACATTTGACTTCATATCCGTGACTGCTATTTAGAAGTATCTGAAATTAGAGGAGAATGTAGTCACCAACCCTACTATTTAGCAACTGACAATCTGTGTTTGTGCAAATCAGGACATGGATTTAGCAAGATTTTGCTGCTGCAGTTAGGGAATTTCAAAACAATATCTAGAAAGTTACTTTACTTAGATAAGGGACGTAAGTATAACTTAGTGGAATGGACACTGAAAGGTACTTTTCTGAGCTGATAATTTTTTTTGCAATGATCAAATTACTTAAAACAAAAAGTAAATATAAAGTAGGAAAATAAAAAAGAAGAGAGCTCATTTAGTGTCCTGGGAGCGAAGCAGTATCTTTTATTTACTCATTCATTCATTCACTCACTCATGCATTCCACAATTATTTATGGAGGGTCTACCATGTGCAAGGCTCTACACTAGGTGCCAGGGATATAGATATACATTTTGCAGGGCCTTTCATGTTTCATTTGGTGAAACTGAAAGTAGAGACTAAATCATCTCTAAATTCCCACTGAGATGTGATGGCCAAAATGTACCCAAGTCTGACTTCCCTTGCTCTTGGAAAACCAGGTAAACAGAGATCAACAGTTTGTGAAGGTTCAATCTGCAGGGAAATCTCAGAGGACATGTCTCCAGGCTGTGTGGTCAGTCTTAGGTGGCAGAGTGCTCAGTGGGGCTCAGTGCCATTTTTTTTTTAACTTAATGGTGGCTGGCCTGTGGCCTCAGATGATGAGGGCTGGGGATATTGGGGAGGAGAGGCAGAGACTGGTGGTCACTGAGACTACCCTGGAGAAGAGACATGAGTTAGGTCAGCTGGACTGAGGAAAGAAGGCAGGAGGAGGATGGAAAAGGCAGTCCCAGAAGGGAAGAACTGAGGTGATGGGTTACAGAAGGAAGTCGCTGTTACATGCCTCATGTCCTACACTTACAGGAAGGAAAGAACACTCAAATATATTTAGAATAAATTTCTGCCAACAAAAGGGGACTTTTAGAAAAGCAATTGTAACACTGCCTATGTGAGATTTGTTTTTTGTTTTTAATTTAAATACAACTAAGAAGTTATATTCCATTCTACTTGAGAGAGGAGAGAGGATGTGTGTGCATGCCTGCGTGCGTGTGTGTGTGCACGCGCCTGTGCCTTGTGATTAATTCATCTAACTTATCCTTGATTATGTAACAACCTACTGAGAATATTAGGTACATATACTAGTGAATTCAGTAGGATGTGGAACCATGAAGTTTCAGGAATCCCCAGGGGTCTTTGGGAGCCCAGAGTCTATCTGAGGGTTAGGGAGACAAGTGTGACCATCTAGAGGTGACCCTAGGGTGAGTGTTGAACTATGACTTGCTTACACAAGGTACTGTTAAACCTTAAGAACATTAGCAAACTGTCATCCTCCCAACCTGGGGAACAGAGCAAGACCCTGTCTCTACAAAAAATTTAAAAATTAGTTGGGTGTGATGGTGTGAGCCTGTAGTCCTAGCTGCTTGGGAGGCTGAGGCAGGAAGATTGCTTGAGCCCAGGAGGTTGAGGCTGCAGTTGGAGCTATGATCGTGCCACTGCATTCCAGCCTGGGCAACAGAGTGAGACTCTGTCTCAATAAAAACAAAACAAAACAAAACAAAACCCAACCAGCCAAACAAGCCAAAACCAACCAACCAACCAACCAAACAAACAAACAAAAGAACAAAGCAAACTGTCATCCTTGAAGTAGTAAGGCATATCATCATTTCTTAAGCCAGGTGATTCATTCATATTTCATTTTAAAGTTTATGTTAAAACTGTTTTCTGTTTGTGTATCAAGCTGACATATCTTTTTTTTTTTTTTAAATAGGTAATTTCATGCTCCCAAAATGGGACATAAAGTGGTTGTCTTCGACATTTCTGTCGTCAGAGCCTTGTGGGAAACTCGTGTGAAGAAGCACAGAGCTTGGCAGAAGAAGGAGGCGGAAAGGCTTGAGAAGAGTGCCTTGGAGAAGTATGTGTTTTCTTAACCTAGTCTTGTAGCTTGTTTGGTGAATAAGGATTTGGACAGGCAACAGTTGCATTATGAAGGAGGATGCTTTTCTTCTGGGATTTCTCACTGTTGCTAACATTTTCCTCATTAAACTTTAGAGCCTTACACTGTTGCTCAGTACAAATATGCAGTTCCTATGATAGCAACACCCATGGTTATAAGGACCTACCTACCACCCAGGCACCGTGCTAGGCACAAGGAAGACAGAGATGACGTGATAAATCCCCCTACAGTAAATGCTGTAGCAGGCTGCCTAGCTAGAGTTCACTGAGCTAACTCACCAGGCTGTCTGGCGCTCTGGAGACCATCTGACTGCCGTCTGGGGCAGCTTGGGGCTACTCTATTGTGCACTTCAGCCCTCCCCCATTGAGCCGAATTCTAGGTAAGATTCATTGTGTTGGTGTCATTTTTACTTGGATGAAATGGTGTCATTTGCCTATCATATACGGTCATGAAATGTGAGTAAAAGAGAGTTATGTATATGAACACCAAGTCGAGTGCTTTGGAAAATTTACAAAGTAGAAAGATTGCAGGTGGCTTTGCATATGTCTGCAATTTTTATTCCCTGTGGAGAAACCAGAACTGGAACTCATGGATGATGCATTAGGGGTGCTGTTTATATAAAATAGACACAATGGGATTCTGATTGGCAGACCCATTCTCAAAGAAAGTCCCAACCCTACGTCAAGTTGGCCAATGATGGTATATTTGCACACTTTAAGTTAAAAACAAGATGTGTAGGGGCCGGGTGCGGTGGCTCATGCCTGTAATCCCAGCACTTTGGGAGGCCGAGGCGGGTGGATCACGAGGTCAGGAGATCGAGACCATCCTGGCTAACATGGTGATACCCCGTCTCTACTAAAAATACAAAAAATTAGCCAGGCATGGTGGCGGGTGCCTGTAGTCCCAGCTACTTGGGAGGCTGAGGCAGGAAGGCAGAAGAATAGCATGAACCTGGGAGGCAGAGCTTGCAGTGAGCTGAGATCAAGCCACTGCACTCCAGCCTGGGTGACAGAGCGGGACTCTGTCTCAAAAAAAAAAAAAAATATTTGTAAGGTGCGAATCTATCTACATTCTTGGTTCTCCACTTTTATTAGCTTTTTGGATTAAACAAATACCTATTCTGATCATGCTTGATAATTAAGCTGCTACTGTATTCATCACAGTGGTTTCAGGTGGTTACCACCATCCCTAATTTGCAGATGAGGAAACTGGGACTTAGGTAAGTTGCTCAAGTTCACACACATGGTAAGCGGAAGATGTGGCCAAGCCCTTGCCTCTATGTAATGCTGTAATCACAGGTAGTTAGAACATCTTTTCTCTTGCCACTAATCTGAGATTGTCCAATATGAAGTAAAGGATTGCTTGAGGAGTTTGAGACTAGACTGGGCAACCTAGTGAGACTCTGTCTTTACAAACAAACAACAAAAAAGAATTAGAACCCTTAAACCAGAAAGCCCACATGGCAATGCATCCAAGAGACCTACAGTCACATAAATCATACAAGGTCCCAGAGCCCAAAATAGCCCTGAGCCCTGCTTCGATTTCCTCCACACACCTAGCATCTGGGGTTACTCTAGACAGAACAAGCTCGCTGCATGGAGGCCCACGCCCTTGGCAGTGGGGAGGGGAGTTAGGGAACACCTGTAGCTGATGCAACTTACTGAGGTTCTTGGAAGAGGAGCCACCTGCAGACATCTGGGGTCTGCAAACTGTGTTCTCTCGTCCGCTTTGGAGTGGGATCTGCCCCTTCATCCCTGTCTTTTGTTGTGGTGTTAACAGCTTCATGCATCTCATGTACATAGGATTGAGCTTGACTTGGACTCAGTGTCATTGAGCTTGTGCAGTATCTCATCTTAATCTAAGACGGAAAACTTCTTGGGTATTTGTTTGGCTTTTCTAGCCCAAGATAAGAAAAACAGTCACCAAGTTGGCTGGGCAGATAAGGAGGAATGTGAGGTAGGGCTGGGGAGGAATGTGCATGTTTAAGAGAGGAACTTAGTTTCTCAGGCTCCTCAGAAATGGGGGTAAGTAAATCTGCCGCCTTTACAGGTGTTTTTGAGCTTCCATAATATAATTCATACTGTGATCATTAGTACTATTTGAGGGTTAACTTTTCGTTTCTCAGGATCTGTTTACTGTGCAAAGGAGGAAATAATATGTTGAAAAATTAATGCCTGCCTGATTATAAAAGGCAACTATTTGGTTAATTTAAATTTACTGAAACAAATAAAACCTTCCAGCTTGTTCTGTTACCTCACTTTAGAGTATCTCATCCTGTAATGCTGTAGTTGTTCCATGAAGTATATACCGACACTTAAAAATTATAAGTAGAGATAAAATATGAAATATCACTCTCTCCGAATGAAACTGGATCATTTAGAGCAGAGGTTCCCGAGCCCTGGGCTGGCCTGTTAGGAACTGGGCCGCACAGCAGGAGGTGTGCAGCCGCGATCGAGCATTTCCGCCGGAGCTCCGCTTCCTGTCAGGTCAGCGGCAGCCTTAGATTCTCATAGGAGCACAAACCCTTTTGTGAATTGTGCATACGAGGGATCTAGGTTGCCCACTGCTTATGAGAATCTAATGCCTGATGATCTGAGGTGGAACAGTTTTATCCCGAAACCATCCCCCCAACCCCTCATCCGTGGAAAAATTGTCTTCCATGAAACTGGTCCCTGGTGCCAAAAAGTTGAGGACCGCTGATTTAGAGGGAGAAATTAAAGAGTTATTGTTAGGCTCTAAGTGAAGATTTTCTTCTCCATTGAGGCTGTTTGCCATCTGGGCTTAAGGAAAAGGTATTTTATTTTCACATTTATTGATTTAATTAGTAGAACTCTAATGGCATTTTTTTTGATATGTTTATGGAATATTTGGCATTCTACTAAAACTGAGTTGAGAGGAAGATTTCACATTCAATTATACGGGTGATAGAGTGAAAAGACAATGAATTTTATTCATTTTAATTACTCTCAAGGAAGAGAATGGAATTAAAAAAATAGTTTATATTTCCTTCACTTTCCTACCATTAGGTTTCAAAGGGAATAAGACATAAAATATTTAAGAAAGAAAATAAGACATAAAATAAGACAAAAATCCTTAAGAAAGAAATAAAAAATAGATTTGGTATATAATTATTTTTAATGGGGTACATCTAATTTTCTTTTTTCTCCATTTTATATTGGCTGTACCAAAATATGTGAAATATTTATAACAATTTGTAATATGTGCTATAGGAATATTATATTACATAGGGATGAACTGGTATCATCTCATTATATTGCTAGGATCTGCCCTTAGGTTCAGTCTAAGAAATGAGGAAAGAAAAGTTAGAGACATTAATCTGAAAAGTGCCCACTGAATACAAGAACTTGCAGTGACTGTGCTGTTGGTTTTAAAAATTTTGGAGCGATTGCTTCTAACAGAAGTTCCAGCAGCATGTCCTTGACCTAGAGTCTGCCCCTTGTCCTGACTGCTACAGTAAGATCTAAATCTACAGGTAGATATTTAAAATTCATTTTTATCATATAGTTATAAAACTAAATCCCACGGAAAAGCTAATAAGGAAAAGCAACAATTCCAAGCCCCTACAACATCTCCCAGAGGAGCCCACTTCTCTTTCAGCACTTTCTTCTGCTTTTAAATTCGTATCCCTTCATGTGCTGACACACACACACACACACACACACACACACACACACACACTTTAATTTTTTTGAGACAAGTCTCTTTCTGTTGCCCAGGCTGGAGTGCAATGGTGTGATCATAGCTCACTGCAGTCTTGACCTCCAGGGCCTAAGCAGTCCTCCTAGCTCAGCCTCCTGAGTAGCTGGGACTAGAGGCATGTGCCACCAGCCCCGCTTTTTTTTTTTTCTTGTGATTTTTTGTAGAGACAGGGGTCTCACTTTGTTTCCCAGGCTGGTCTCAAACTTTGGCCTCAAGTGTTCCTCCCACCTGAGCCACCTTACCCGGCAATATTTTTAAACCTATCACTTTCGTTACATTACTTATAGACTTCACATGTAGATCCTGAAGCCCCGACTCATTGATTGCTGGGTACTTTTCTCTGGCGCAGCTCACTGGGACTGAGACCTATAGAGCTGTGCCAGCCAGTGCTGTCAGCAAAATACTTTTTTTCAAATGTTCCAGCTTCCCTCAGCTGAATGGCAAGCATGAAACTCCAGCAATATCTGAAATGGTTTCTTAAAAGCAAAACATCTGATTAAGAAGGTGACATTTGCATGTAGACCTGGGGAGCCAACCCTGCAGAAATCTAAGAACAAGGGTTCCAGGCAGGCAGAACAGCAAATGCCAATGCCCTGAGGCAAGCGTTTTCCCGGATATTCAATAAGAGCAAGGAGACCAGCGACTGGGCCAGCGACTGGGCCAGAAGATCAAGTGAGGGCAGAGGGGATGAGGTCAGAGCCACAAGGGGAGGGACACAGGGACACAGGTCTGTAGGGCCTTGTAGATAATGCTGTGTGAGAAGAGAAGCCAGTAAGAGGTGTGTGTGGGCAGGGGCATGATGTGATTGACTTTGTAAGAGGCTCACTCAAGCTGCCGGGTGAGTTTGGACCACAGGGAGGCAGGGGTGGTGACAGTAAGCAGAAGATGGTGGCTTGGACCAGCGTGGAAGCAGTGAAGATGATGAGGAGTGGATGGATTCTGATAAAACTGGCCATATTTGTTGATGGATTTGATATGTGGTATGAAGGAAAGCATGGAGTCAAAGATGACCCTGAGATTTTTGGCCAGAGCTGCTGGAAGCCTTTTACTGAGTTTTGGGGTTGAAGATCAGGAGTTTGTGCTGATCAAAAGTTTGTCACTGGGATCACATGTTAACTTTGAGATGCCTTTTAGGCATCCAGGTGGAGATGTTGGAGAGGCAGTTTGATACAGGAGGCTGGATTCAATGAGAAAGTCTTGGCTGGAGATATACATGTGAGCATGGTCAGCATATAGAT